GCTGCTTCACATAGCAAAACACACTGTTTCTTGAATTGTAATAATCAATTTTGGGCACCAAGTTAAAACAGATATTATGTGATACTATTGCAGCTTAGTTTTCAACAGGATTGAGTTTCTCGGCTTGGGTTATATATATAACCCTCGAGTATTTTTGCATGTGCTCTAATTGCTTGATTGAGGAGGATTGAGTTTTTCGGCTTTCTGTGTTTTAGAGATTTCACATCATAAACCTTGAGCTGCTTCACTTAGCAAAACACACTGTTTCTTGAATTGTAATAATCATTTTTTGGCACCAAGTTAAAATGGATATTATGCTATACTGTTGCAACTTAGTTTTTAACAATATGGAATATGAAATTTTTCACTATATAATCATATGTACTTGTTGTCTATCATATCATCTTTCTGTTCATTATTGCCAGGATTTATTGAGTACTACCAATTTCAAGGTATTCCACATGTCATTAAATTGTTCCATTTTATTTTTCAATGTGATTAAATTGTAATACTGTCTTCCATCTAGGATGATGAAATTGGCATGTCTCCTGTGCTGGCTCCAAAACAAAAAGACGCCCCCAAAGATGAACCAACAGAAAATACAACTTCAAAAGCATCACCTCCCTCAACATCTGCCCGTTCCAGTCCTGTTACATCAAAATCATCTAAATCAAAGAGAAAAGCTGGGAGTGATGATGCAAAGATTAGTAATGGTTTACCTGCTAAGAAGGTGAAGGCAGACAATGTATGTATTTCATTTTATGGTTCTCAGAATTCTTTGTTGTGTGATTCTTGTTGTTGTCAGTGGCATACTACAACAATCATGCTGTTTGATTTTGCATTTCGACTAAATCATTTTCTTCTCTGGTTCAGTCAAATGCTAAGGCTGAGCCTCCCACTTCATCTAAACGCAATGTGCCTCCAAAATCATTACATGCTACAACTTCCAAACTTGGATCAATGTCTTCTACAGCTCCAGTGACAGAGGATGAGATTCGAACAGTTCTCCTTTCTGCCACTCCTTTGACAACACAGGACTTGGTTGCAAAATTCAAAGCCAGACTAAAATCCCAAGAGGTTTGTTGTTTTAACTTTCATTGTTTCTTGTTTTCTTTGAGATTGGTAATGCTGCAAAGTTTCTGGTGTACTGTTTTCTAGCCCCTAAACTAAACACTGGAATTTTTTAATGCAAGGAAATGATTAATATTTGCATCAGTTTCAGTTGTCCCTATAATTTTGCATTCCAGAAGTGAGTTTGCTGGTTACTTGTTTGATACATGCATGTCACCCTTATGTGAACGCACAACAACTATTTAGAACATATGCCCTGCATTACCTCCATAGAAATATACTCAGCTTCTTTTATTTCATCCATGATGCAATAAGCCTGGTATGAAACTGTTTCCTTCAAAAATAAAAGAAAATGTTTCTTACACCAATGTACTAACAAAGTGGCAATTAATGATGTTTTTTTTTTTCTCCTCCTTATTTAAACGAACTTTTGCAGGATAAGAAGGCTTTTGCGGACATTCTCAGAAGAATATCTAAGATACAGAAGGCTAATGGTCATAACTACATCGTTCTGAGAGAGAAATAGTTGGATGCCATGTAGTTTTAGTCATCCTCGGCATTGAGGTCATGATAGCTTTGTGTTCGACTTGTGCAGATGGAACTTTGGTGGGTAATACAGAAGCAAAGCTTGATTCAACATTTTTCCCGATTGTGCTCATAGTTTGGAGTCAGTATATGCTCTGTTGCCCCAAGCACTGCAGATCGTGACATGACGTGTTGCCATGGGGGTTGAAAAAGGTTAAATTTACTCGATTATTTGTGCACTCGGTAGAACATGTTGCAAATTGATTTCTACTAATATGATCGATCGACTAGGTTTCTGCTGTGAATTTGTAGCCATTTGTGACTACTAATTTGATCGATCGACTAGGTTTCCTTCGTTTTGAGCACAATCATCAACAGATGTATCTCTGGAAATGTCTACACCACAAATACTTTTGTAGTTCTTGCTATGGGAGCAACTTTGCTCACACATTTCCCATCGGCATTTCTGATTTATAATAATAATAATAATAATAATAATAATAATAATAATAATAATAATAATAATAATAATAAAATCCAGTCCATGGGGATTGAAAATTGAGATTGTCAATTTGAGTATGAAAGCATTGTTCAAGTAAAGAACTACTACTACTACTCTATTGCCCAGTGTAAAGCATACCAGAGACTTCACACAATGGTTAAATAGTTTCCTCAAATCCCAAAGTGACCATAGCCCCCAGTAAATAATTTCTAGCACCAGCTATTTTAAACTAAGATATCTCATCCGGGGAGAGCACTAACCAAATCTAGCGATCATCACATTAGTCCATAAGCTCGAGACCCTATTAAATTATATAAAATATTCTTCTGACTTGAACATCAATCTGGAAATTTCTCGATTCATGGGTATGCTTAGACCGTAGATTTAGTAACAACGCCATAACGTGGGATTTGCTAAGCATCCGAGTGACGTTAAGATTATAATACTGAGATAGCATTAAGAATCAAACTAATTTGGAAGGGCACCTTTACTAGCTTGCGAAAGATTGGAGCCCCCCTCTAATTACCTAATTTATTATGAATTTATTTAGAGATGTTATCAAAAGTCTAACCTTCCAAGCACGATCATAGTGCTTAAATACTTGAAACAAAAGCTTTCTTCTTTGGTGTTCAAGTTGGAGGAAATTAGGTTCATAGTGCTTCTATCAAACCCTACGAGGGAAAATGAATTTTGATTTACTCACATCGATTCATTGGTCTACGAGAATTTCATAATCTTTAAAGATATCTAACACCATCGTATAAGATTTATTATTTACTCTAAAACAAAAGTAAAATGTTATAAGCATACCTAAGATAGAAAATCTTTAGTTTTCTTATAAGTGAAATGAAAGGATTGAACCTACCCGATTTATTAGTTTGGCTTATAGTAAGTGCGACAATAGTTTATAACATTTTACTTATTTCTTTCTTTCTTTATGAAGATTAAAAAATAACCTTTACCGACTATTATAAAAAGGTTACAAAACTCTTAATATCTTTTATACCCTCTAAAATAAGAGTGAGTTCCATTAATACAACAAATAAATCGGGGGATGAAATATATTTCTTCACCTATTCAATAAATCTATTTGCAAATGATGATTAGGTTATGATCCACTCATTGTCGAACTGAATTTGCTAGAAAAAAACTTTTTACATATATGGTAATCATGTTGTTATGATAGGATTTAGTTAACTTTTGCCTGAGTCCATTCTTTTGACTTGATCCTTCTAATGATAGCTTAATATCGATTGACATTGATTATTGAGATAGGTGAGTTGAACCCTTTCATCCTCACTTAAATCCCTAGTGTAGTCAATATTCTTCAGATTTTTTTATTTGTCCTAAAAACTTAATATAGGTGGTTTGCGGATTATCTATAGAGTTATGATTCCACCTGGAAATACGATATCACATAATCATTAAAACCATATATGGCATTGTTAGAACTAAAAGAAAGAGATAGTTGGATTTAATAGTATTATTATATGGATCCTCTTAATTAACCCAAATGTTATGAAATTTAAACTTGTGTTTTCTATTTATGGATTTTAAAAGGTAAAGGATAATGATTTGAAAACGATTCTCGAGTAACCAAATAACAAAAAAGAATTAGTCAAAATTCTAAACCCAAATTGTAAAAAGTTGTTGAATTAGATAGATAGAGATAAAAGAGAGAGATAATAACAAACTTGTTTTCTTCCTTTTGTTTAGCGGAATCGAGAGTGTAATTAAAGTCGATGCCGAGGGACAATTCGAGAAATTCAATGAAATTAAATCATTTCAAATAAGAAATCATTTTGCATTGAAACATGGTCACTAGAATAAAGGGAAGGAGGGAGCATTCTTTCTTTTATATTTATATATATATATATAGACAGAGAGAGAGAGAGAGAGAGAGAGAGATCGTCAATTCTGATTCTGAAACTATCGGTTTAAGAATCACTAGTTTGGGTCCCCAAAAATCAGGAATCGTAATCAATCTATGTAGATCCTTTGGAACCCATTAAATGTCAAATTGGTTTGATTCCAATTCGATTATGATTCGATTACCATTTAAATCGAGTTATTCACTTCTTTACCTAATTTCTAGAACCTCGAATAGTCCCTCCCCTCAATCGATGATAACATCTCTTTATCATGATCGTATTTGAATCATGCCATATCATTTACCATCATTTTATTTGAGATAGCATTAGCACTCGACGAAGGATTATTCCGGGATTTCACCGACAAAAAGGGTCTAACGCAAACACCATTTGTAGGGTCTAACGACGATAATAATAATAATAATAATAATAATAATAATAATAATAATAATAATAATAATAATAATAATAATAATAATAATAATAATAATAAACTGTAAAGCTCGATCCTGTTGTAGTTGATTTTCTTTCCAACTAGAGATGATGTGATTTATTAGTTAAATCATGATCTTTCATAATTTTTATTATCTTCAGTAAAATAAAAGTTTAATTAATATTT